GCAGTGTCCAACCGCTGTTTCACTGCGCCCACTCCCGGGTCTGCACAGGGCGCAGGAAGCGGTGCCCCGGGACTGTGAGTGAGCAGTGGGCCGGGCGGGGATGGGACGAGAGCTTGCGGGGAGGCTGCTGTCGCACACCCTAGAGGAAATCCTTGTGTGTAGGGGAGGGCGCACCACCTTGCCAACACTGCTGGGGTCTGGGAAGACTTGTCCAGCTCCCCCAGCAAAACGAGGACCACTCATTGCTCTCGACCCTCAAATCTGACCCAAAGAAAAGTGTGGGCTTAGGGTTCTGGGAAGCCCCTAGAGGGAGAACCCCTAAGCCGGGAGCATCTGTTTGCAGCTGCTGGGAGCCCCTAGGAATATCTCCATGGAGTTTGGGCATGAGGGAGCCCCTCCACTTCACCCCCCCTCCTCCCTTCAGGTCTCCAGGCTCAAGCACCAAAAGACAGTGGTAGAGCCCTTGTCTGGCGTGCGGGAGGCACTGGATTTGATCCCTAGCAGTGCAGAATTTTAAAGAAATACCTTTGTCATTGAGATCTCACAGGTTGTGTGATCCCACGACCAGATGGCAATGGAGTTGCTGCCTAGGCTGCAAGGCGGAAGGGGCAGTGAAGCCTCTGGGGTGGGAGCTGGCCCAGACCTGCCAGAATCTAGCAGGCCCAGAACCCTCGACCCTCCCCACCCCCCGCGCCCCCTTGCGTTCTCTGGCACTCTTTCCCTCCCCGCAAAGTCCTGCTAAGAAAGTTGGGGTCCTGGAACCAGAGACGAGACTAGCAGGCCTGGCTCCTCCACTCACCTGCTGGAGGCGCTCCAAGGACTCTCTTCTCTATTGCTTCACCTCCCTCACCTGCGAAACAAAGTAATTCTTTTCTCCCGGGATTGCCAGGTGCACTAGGGAAGACCTGATATGTCGGCACCCCCCGCCCCCCAATTTCTTCCTCAGTCGGGGATTCTGAACTGATGAAAGGTACTTGGAAAACTGTGAGATCCCTCCTGGCTCTGAAGTTTGGGATCCCTTTGGAGCATGTTGGCCTGGCCTGACATGCGTCAAAATGTGTAGGGAAGATTGTGGGAGGGTTGGCTATGTGGCTTTAAAAAGGTACTGAGCCCCACAGCATCCTCAGGCCCTTGATCCCTGGGAATAGCGGACAGTGGGCAGAATGCCTTCCCTGGCTCCAAGGCAGGTGGTCTTCTTCATAAACCTGGGCGTCAGCAGCAGCCATGGTGGGAAAAACAGCAGTTCACCTACCCATTCCATCACCCAGAGTCCAGACTCCCAGCAGATACTGAGGAGGAGCAAGGAGTGGGGCTGGCCTGAGTTACCCTGCTCCAGCCCCAGCCCCAGCCCCAGTCCCAAGCCAGACCTTTCTTCCCTCCCTCCTCTGGCTTCAGTGAGCATTGGGTCCAACCTTGGCTGGCTCCCTCAGCTCTATCCCAGGGCCGCCCCCACTGAGTCACTGCCTCTCACTCCCTCCCTCACCCTCTGCTGCCCACCCCTTTCCACCAGCCAGCCCCCCCCTTCCCCAGCTCTAAGAGTTGGAGGGATCTGCTAGCAGGTACACATACCCTCTCAGTGCCCAAGACAAATAAGCCATAGGCCCTAACTGACCCTGGTCCCCTGGGCACAGCAGGCAAAATCAGGGGAGGTACAGACATGCTGAGATAGAGGTGGAGCTGGGCCCTGGTTTCCCCACTCCACATAGAATGTGCATTGTAAGCAGACTGCATGTTGTCCACCTCTGCACTTCCAGCACCCTGCACAGAATAAGTGTTTAGAAGTATCTGAGGCTAGTCACAGTGCCCTTGTCCTCCTGAGGCTCCTTGTCTGTGGGTCACATGGAAACCAGAATCACACATGAAGCCAGATTCAGAGGCTCAGCCTGAAAGGGAGATAGAAGAGACTGAGAGCTTCAGGATACACAGCCTCAGGATGGCAGAGGCACAGAGAGAAACAGGGATGGACTGGGGCCTAGTGGGAAACATTGGGGGGCTAGGCCTGGAGCCAGCCTGAGGTGGCTGACCACAGTAGGCTCTGTGGGCTGAGTTTGCAGGACTAAACAGTGACTCATTGGAGCCCATCTCTGTGGCTCTGCTGGCAGCCAAATCTATTCAAAGCAGCCTTTTCCACTGAGATCATAAAATGCAGATGGGCCTTCATCCCCTCCTCCACTCAGCCTCCCATTCCTCGCCACCATGAATCAGTCAAAAATAAAATGCGAGCTCTGGACCTCAGGGGGCTTAGTGATAAGAAACCCATAGTCATTTTCCTCAGTCCACCCCAAACCTTGCACACTCCAAACATTAAGGGCAAAAAATATCCCAGACCTTCCCGACCTCTCTCACCTTTGGCCTAAATAAACTTCAGATTCCTTGTTATGATATTTAAGGCTATCCAGAGGCATCACAGTCTTTCTGTCCAGCTCCCAAACTAACCAGAAAAATGTAGATGATTATAAGTCTCGTCTCATACTGTCCTTTGCCTGAAGGCTCTTGCCTTGCCTATCTCCCTTGATTAAAATCCTTCCTCCTTCAAGGACTAGATATAGCACCTGCTCTTTCCTCCCCAGCCATCCTAGCTAGGCAGACCATCCCCTGCCATCTTGCCCAGTCAAGTGGTCACTTATGAACAAGACCTTAACTTGCTCGCTCTTCTGCCAAGCATAAGCCTACCTGCCTTCCCAATCCCTCTAGCTGTGTTCATCTGCTTTCTGGGCCTCTGCTGAATCAGAACCTTTGGGATATGCCCAAGAATCTGCATGTTTGACAAGCACCCCAGTTATTCTGACACTAAAGTCTGGGAACAGCTGCCTGCTGTCCCCAGCACCAGCCTCTTCACCTCCTCTGGGCTGCTAGAACAGCTTCCCAAAAGGTCTTCATTCTTTGGCTTTTTTTTTTTTTCCTTCTACTAATTCACCCTCCATCTGGGCTTCCATACAACTTCCACCTGACAGCCCCATGTGTATACTAACACACACCCACACATACACACACACACAATTTCTCCCAGAAGCCTTTCCAGATCTTTCAAGAACCCCATAGCACTTTCCATGCATCTTGGCCTTGCAGTATAAGATGGATGAATGCAAACACTATGAACCCTTTCCATGAGCCAGGCCTGGGACAGATTCCTCCCCATTTAACATTAATCACAGCAGCAATTTTGTGATATATGATTGCTATCCCATTTTAGAGATGAGAAAAATGAGGCTCAGAGAGGTCTGTGTAACATGCCCATGATGACATACATAGCTGCTGAGTAATAGTTGGCACGGACTTGAAATTGTTAACTATTAATTAACAACCAGGCTTTATTACTACCAGCTGTAAACAACTTGAAGCTAAAGCTAAATCCCTCTTCCTTCTCTTCGTGTCTTAGCCACGCATAGCACAGAAACAGTAAATGTTAATTGATTAAGTCTGTAAACTTCAAAGTGTACCAAGAACCTTCTGATCCATAAAGAATGGAAAGTGGGATAGTGATTACCTAGGGTTGGGGAGGAGGCAGGTATAGGGCTTCTTTGGGGGAGGATGAAAACATTCTACACTTAGGTTATGGTGAAAGTTGTGCAATTCTGAATAAGAACACTGAACTATACATTTTAAACGGATGAATTTTTATGGTATGTGCATTTTATGTCAATAAAGATGATTTTTCTTAAAAAAATCCTTTAGACACAGTGGGAATTGGACTTGGGGAGCATTGTGGAGATTTCTGGACCCCACATTATCTGAATTTGTATTGTAAACACTCAGGGTGACCAGCTCCTTTGAGATTGCCTTCCCATCTGCCATATGCAAAGGAGTACTTCTGTTTATTTCTCTCACATCTACCTCCAGGCTCTCCAGAAATGCTTCTGTGGCCCCAGGTGTGGTGGTTGCATTTTTGGGAGCTTAGATCTTGACCCCTGGGGGTCTTTTTTCCTGCCAGCCTTCCCTGTTTTGTAGATTCCCAGTTCTGTGACCTCAAGCCCATACAGTGATCCCCCAGACTGCCACTTCAAGACCCCTGCTAAAGGGACAATGTTGGAAAAATGTGAGAGAGGATGGGGAGGACCAGAGGTACTAACAGTATTGCCTAAGATCCTCTCCTCCATTCTCTACCTCAGAAGCCCTGGGGTAGACAGATCCCCTCTTGCTTGTGTCTAGAACCCTCAGACACATGGACAGAGGACACTCTTCCATCTGAGTGATGTTTAATGCATCTTAGGTTCAAGGTGCAAAACAAGGCAGGGCTAACCCCAGGAAAGCCACCTGCCACTCAGCACCACCCCCCAACACTGCAGCTGGGTATCCCAGCCCCCACAGAAATGGAGCAGTGGCTCTGGGATACCTGGCTCCTTCCCTGTTTGGGGAAATGTTGAGGTGGCAACTTGGGAGCCCAGAGCCACTGTGTCCCTTCCTCAGAAAATCCAGAACCAAGGATCAAAAGTTCCAGATTTAGACCCAGAGTAGCAGATCCCCCAAAGCAGTCCAGAACTGAAGCCTGGCCTAGGACCCATGTCCTGGAAAAGGAGGTACCATCACCCCAGTACCTGGCAGCAAAGGGAAGGGGCTAAAACAAGATGTGACAGCAGACTCCCACTGCCCTAAAAAAAAGTGGACCATGAGTAACTGGCCCAACAGGGTACCCCCCTCCATGGCTGAAGCCTGCTCTACATCCCACCCCAATCTCTTGGAGGACCAGCCCCTCACTGAGCCTCTCTGGCAGAGCACTATCCCTGATCTGGTGCTAGGGAGAGCGCAGAGGGCAAGGAAGACCCGCATCCACTGAGGAATGATGCCCTTGCTGTGGGGGCAGGAACAGCTGCCTACACTGACCCCAGGAAGAGCCCCTGGTGAAGGGGCATCAGCTACTCAAGTCTCTGGGCCTAAGCCTAGACTGGGTCCTGAGCCATTACTCAAATGAAAGGGTGGAAGGGGCTAGGAGCAGGGAGGGGAGTGAGAAGGGTCCCTCTGAGGACCAGCCCAGGAGACCCTCCTGATCAGCCCCAAGGAGTCCCAGTTCCTTCTTCAGTCTTGGCCCCCTCTGGCTCTGTGTCAGGCTGAGTGGGCTCTTCTGCCTATTCCAGAGAATACTTCTTACAGTTCTACCTCCTGCTCTTCCCCAAGGCCCTGGGCTACAGCCGGCCTCCTCTGTTGAACTGAATGCACCAGTGGGAGTTGGCGGTGCCAGGGCTAAGATGGGTGCGGTCCTTGTGGTCCATGAGGGGCTGCAGCTCCTGCTGTTGGGGGATGTCAGCGCTGCTTTCACTTCGAGAACGGCCAGCTTTGGCCAGGCTCGGGGGGAAGGCGAAACTAGAGCGAGGGTCAGAAGACAGGTCAAGAGGGGCCTGGGGTTCTTCAGTGCAAAGTGAATGGGGAGGCAAGCGGTTCAGAGTCGGGGGCTGGGTACAGGGAGGGGATGCCAGGCTCTCCAGAGATGAAATGCTCTGGTTCCAGCCTGTCTGCATGTCCACAGGCACGATCTTGGTGGTTTCCGAAGACACGTACACTGCCAGGTCCCCCTGCGCACTTTTCCAGGGTAGCTCCTTCTCTGCACAGGTTGGGGAGGGGGGGATGATGCGTGGGCTTGGGCACACTTCAAGGCCTCCTGGGGAGAGTACACATGAACTTATTACCAATGCAGTGGAATTGTTTTCAAGTACAAGCACACTCTTGTAAGTAAGAGCATTCCACAGCCACCATGTTACATCCATTTGTGCATTTATCTGATGACTGTCTTGCTGAGAGGAAGCACCATGGCTGGTTTTACTCTCTGTTGTGTCCCACCACCTAGCATTGTTGTTGAAGAGATACCTATGGAGGGCTGGATGTGTGGCTCAAGCAGTAGAACTAGCTTAGCAAGTACAAAGCCCTGAGTTCAAACCCCAATACCACAAAGGAAAAAAAAAGAAAGAAACCTGCTGAACAAATGGAAGTCACTACAGCATGAAAAAGTAAGGAAAGAAGTCTTGTCTCTGATCACTCCCCTCAGACATGCAGCAGAAACATGTCTGTTTCACAAACTGCATCCTACTAAGCTCTACACTGGCCTGCCAGCAAGGGTGAGGCAGTGGCAGGGAGGGAGAGGAAGACCTTGAGGCTCCAGGCCAAAGGCTTGACTGCTAGACACCCTGCCTGAGTGCCTACAATACCCTTTGGAGGGACATAGTCCAAGATTGTGAACTCATGCAAACCTAACAGCAGGCTGAAGCTGTACTGCAAATTGGATGTCAGGATAAGGACTGGGAGCTGAGAATCCCAGAACTGCAGGCAGCTGGATTACAGGAAGTCTGAGATTCTGAAAAAGGAAACCTGAGCTCTCTAAAGTCAAGCACAATGCCTTGCAGATAAAAGGTGCTCAGTGTGTATCTGTTCATTGATAAAGTGCTGAAAATTCCAATAAACTCAGGGCCTCAAACACGCTAGCACACTACCACTGAGCTACACCCTCAGCCCCCAATAAACTTCTTGACTGAGTACATTATGAAATGTATTGATGCTATGATTAAAAATGAAATGACATCTCTTGAAAGACCTGGAATATTAAAATTTAATAATAACAAAACCCATCAGCGCTCACCTTTAGAGGATGCTAAGGAACTAACTCCTTGATCTGAGGATTATAAATAAAAGGAAAGGATCAAATACTTATCCATTCTTTCCTATATGAACTGTATCTCAAAGTAACCAAATTGATGAGGAGAGGTTTTTAATAGAAGAATTCCTGCTAATACTTTTTTTTTTTTTTTTTTTTGGTCGTACTGGAGTTTGAACTCAGGGCCTCATGCTTGCTAGGCAGGCACTCTACTACTTGAGCCACATCCCCAGCCCCAAATTCCTGCTAATAAATGCAGATGAAAAATAGATGTAGAGAGCTGGCAGAGTGGCTCAAGTGGTACAGCGCCTGCCTAGTAAGCGTGAGGCCCTGAATTCAAACTCCAGTACCATCAAAAAAAAATTAAAAAAAAAAAGATATAGAATATTGCCATTGTGTGTTGAATGTGGCATGATTATCAGTGGCTGGTAAGACCACTCATTGAAAAGCTAATGTGGAACTTGATCATGGATAGATCAGGTGAACATCTAAGCCCAGTGATCAATGTTAGCCTCATAATAAAAGAGATAACCATGTGTTTCCTGATATGGCCAATAGGAAGTATACTATAACCACCTATGAGGTAATTTTTTTTTTTTTGTGGTAGTTGGGGGTTGATCTCAGGGCCTTATGCTTGCTAGGCAGGTGCTCTACCACTTGAGCCACTCCACCAGCCTACCTATGAGGTATTCTTACAAAAAAAACCAAACAACAACAACAAGCAAACCCTAAAATCTGATCTAGATTTGAAGGAAATGTGAGGGACAGAAAAATATATTAAATGACACTTTGGGGGATACAATCAGACCAGGAAAGGCTGTAGGACAAATAACCTGGTTTCTTTTTTTTTTTTTTTTTCTTGGTAACCTGGTTTCTTCAATAAATATATTACAAGGGGGGAAAAGTAGGGAGGTTAGATCAGAATCTTCCAAACTTGACAGTACTGACTTTTTTTTTTTAAACAGTACTGGGATTTGAACTCAGGGCCTCATGCTTGCTAGGCAGGTGCTCTACCACTTAAGCCATTCTACCAGCAGTACTGGCATTTTAAGACAGCTACTTCTTTGTTGTGAGGACTGTCTTGCACATTATAGAATGTTTACCAACATCCCTGGCCTCCACCCACTCAATACCAAGTGCATCCTCCCCAGCTGTGACAACAGAAATGTGTCCAGACATTGCCAAGTGTCTCCTGAGTGGAAAAACTCTCTACCACCAACCCTTGAGAACCACTGTGATGAATTAAAAGGGTCTTATCAACCAAATGTAATGGATCTTATCTGAACTTTTTTTTTTGTGGTACTGGGGTTTGAACTTAAAACCTACTCTTTGAGCCACTCCACCAGCTTTTCTTAATGGGTTTTTTTTTTTTTAAACAGGGTCTCTTAAACTATTTCGCTGGGGCTGGCTTCAAACTGAGATCCTTCTGACCTCTGCCTCCTGAGTAGCTAGGATTATAAATGTGAGCACCCAATTTTATCCAGATTTTTATTTGCACAAAACTATTGTAAAAAATATATATATATGAAGAAAACCAGGGAAATCTGAACACTGACTAGCTATTTGATGACAAAGATTTTATATATAGTAATGATATTGTGGTTATATCTTTTTAAAAGAATCCTTATCCTTTATGTTGGAGTATTTATTGATAAAGTGATACAATATTTGAGGTTTTCTTCATAAGAGCCCAGAGAAGCAGGGTCATAGGTGAGGGTGTAGGTAAAATAAGATTGACTATGAGTAGGTAATTATTGAAGCTGGGTAAAAAATAGATGGGAGTTTATTTCACTGTTCTGTCAGTGAAATAAGTTATTTTGAAATTTTCTGTAATAAAACCTTTCTAAGAAGTACCTCAGGGTGCTTGAGCCAACCACTAGTGAGTGATACCTAGCGTTACGAGTGAATTAAGTCTCCACATGTGGAAACATGTATATGTTGTTTTTTATCCTTAACAATTACATTTTGCTGATCTCAGCCTCCCCGCCTCCAGGTCAGGTGCCACTTTCACGGGGTCTCTACCTGAGAGCAGCTGTGCTGAGCATGGGTCACAGCAGAGCCTGCTGTTGGTATGCTTATCACCTTGGATTCCTAGGACATAAAGGGAGGCAGGATGGAAGCAAAAGGCTGTGGCCTTTGGACTCAGACCGGTCAGATTTAAACTCTGGTTTGGCCAGGCCAGGTGATGCTGGATTAAGACACAAGTCCTTTAGTCCTTTATAAGCTCAGTTTCCCCATGCTGGTTGTTGTGAGGGTTGAACCCGATCATGTGTGTCGGGTTTTTAACAGAAAGGAGATGCTCAGTAAATGCTGGTTGGTGAATAAACTAATGAATAGGTAAAGGGAGTTGCCTGGAGTTGAGGCCATGAAAGCAGAGGGAGGAAACCAGCTTGCTCCAGAGGGGAGGGAGGCAGTGAGGAAATCATTACCTGAGACCTTGCCCTCTTGGAGAACCTCACTGGTGGCCCGAGCCACAAAGATGATCCCCTCGTCGTCCTCTTTCTCTGTTTCTGAACTGTCACTCTCCTCCTCCTCCTCAGACTCCACGGTTAATATCACAGCAGCTGAACAGGGACAAGAGCTGAGTTGGGGCAGCCAGCCCAGCAGCTGCTTCTTGGTACTGCATAACCCCAAGCCAGCTCCTGCATCCCCAGGCAGAGCCCATGTTGGCAGAGGTGCCTGCTTTCTCCTCTGGCTCTTGGGGGCACTGGCCTAGAGAATAGGAGGCTTAAGAAGGGAAAGAAGATTGCAGAGCTGGAGGAGGCAATGAGAAGCAGCCTCAGAGGAGGCTATGAGGGGAGCACCTTCCAGCTCACCTATGTTCTTGTCAGCCCCAGGATCCATTACTGAGTGACAACATGAGCACGTGGAGGGCTCAAAAAGCTCATTACCACTCAGCTCATAGGGAACAGGTGGGACACTAAGCCTCAGTGTCTATCCATTTTTCAAGGTCTAGGCCAACCTCCCCTTCTCCATGACCTTTTCCAAGTACTCAGTGCCCATAGGCCATAGTTAGCAGTCAGGCTCCTCCTCTAACATATTGTGTAACTGCTTCGAACATTTCCAACATTGAAATCGAGCATGCCTGTCTAGTCCATCAGAGGAGAAGCCCCCCGCTCATGATGCTAAATGCACCCAGACGTCCTCCAGGATAATGGTTGATGAACCCTGCCCTTCCCCTTCTCCCTCCCATCCTCAAGCCCACCACTCTGCTCCCAGCTTGCCTGTATCCTGAAAGCCCAGGTCTCGAGGTTTTCCATTTGTAGCCTCAGCATTAGCCACACCATCTTTCTGAGGACCAAGAAAGCAAGCCTGAGCCTCTGGCCTTAGTTCCATACACTAACCCTGTTATCTAGTAGGATCAACAGGAAGACAGGTCTTCCCAGCCCAGCAGGGGAGGGAATTTGTGTCACTCCCAAGGGTTTCTATCATCCCACCATCTCTTGGCTAACCAGCCAGTAACTGTGGAGTTTGAGTAACCTAAGCCCCAACAGTGGCTGTGGATGCATCAGCTTGGGCTGATTAAACAGGGGGTCCCCCTACGCTGGATTCCAACACTTGAAGGGCTCAAAATAGTGAGTTGTCAACCTCCAGGCACAAATAAAAGTTCCAGAGAAAGGACATGCCTTTTTGCGACTGGTCTTGTGGAGTCGTGGCTTGCTCTTGGTGAAGCAAATGTTGTGCTTAGTGGACTTAAAGGACTCAAGCCGTCGCTTCATGTTCTGCTGGAAGACCTCCTTGTCCTGGCGCTCCTGGGCATCCTCAGAGATGAAGTGGCGGCTACAGCTGGCTTTGTACTGGTAATGATAGTCCCACCCTGCCATGAGGCTGGATGCCTTGGCCTCCCACAGGAACCCCAGGCCACAGCCCTAGCTATGGCCTTCCAGCCTAGCTTTTCCAGAGCTAGCCATGGATTAAAAAACAAGACAAATATATATAACGACAGGGTTCTTTGTTTTGTCCCCTGGTGCAACTATAAGACCAAGGGGCCATATTCTTCTTTATACCTCCATTTGTTTAAGTATGGTCCACACATTCCACCCACCTGTCCCCTTCTACATACACAGGATCCTCTCCAGCTGGTCATCTCTACAACCACCACCATGACACCAGGGCTGTACTTTGGTTTTTCATAACTAACTCTCCTGACAGCTGGACTCCTCATGGTCCCAGCAAATACCTACCTAATTCAGAGCCACTCCTTTCATCTGCTTTTTTTTTTTTTAACACTTATAAAAGGATTCCCCAAAGTGTTCCAGGTCATACTGCCTTGCTTCACCTCATACCCCCAGTCTGGTCCCTTTCTTATCCCTCATACTTTCGGCTTCCCTGAACTAGTTCCAAGAATTTTCTTCAAGTCTCCCATTTGCCCTCCTCTTCTTCCTATGTATCTGGAGGTGCTCCTCTCTTCTGGGGTGAAGAGGCCCAACCCTGGTCTTTGCTTTGCTCAACTCACTTCTTCCTGCCTCTCAGCTCCTGGCTTGCTTTTATTTCTCCACTCTCCTGCATCTTCACTCTCTCTGGCCACTGTCCCTCTGCTTTCAGGCAAGTTCCTGCCCTTACCCCCTTGAAGAAATCCTTTCCTTTGATACCACTGCCTTCCTTTTGTGTCCTAACTTCTATAATTGATTCCAACATTTTCTCTCCTACCCAGTACTTCCTTAAATAGCAAAAATGCAACTCAAGGTCCCAATGTCCACAGGGCTGCCTTCTCCCTAGTCACCAGTCCTGTGGCCTCTGCTTAGGCACTAGCCTGGCCTCTGTGTGGCATCCAGCCCTCCTTCCACCCCAGTCTGGAGACACCAATTTGCTTCTGCCTTCTCCAAGGGTTCCTTCTGTCTTCTTTGCTGGTTCCCTGTCCCTTTCTTCCACATGCATTCTTCAGTATAATATACTTGGTCCTCCACTCTTGCCTCTGAACACTCTCCCCAGAGACCCATTCTCTCAGTTTTAACTATCCCAGTGACATGATCTGTGGTCCCCAAACAGCAATCATCAGACCAGCTGCATCTGAACCACCTGGGGGATTTGTTAAGATCACAGTTGGTGGCTCACTCCTATAATCCTAGCTACTTGGTAGGCTGAGACCTGGAGGATCATGATTCAAGGTCAGCCTGGGCAAATAGCTTACCAGATCCCCATCTCCAAAATAACCAGAGCAAAAAGGACTGAAGGTGTGGCTCAAGCGGTACAGTGCCTGCTTTGCAAGCACAAAATTCTGAGTTCAAACCCTGTACCACCAAAAAATACAAACATAATAATAATAATAAACAAGATTACAGATTCTTAGTCCCACTCCATACTACAGAATCAGGAATCTCTAGAAGGTGAAGCCAAGAATAGTCTAGCAAGCTTCTTAGGGGATTCTGTTGAAATCAGATGAGGAAACCTCTAACACAGACTGCTTCTAAGTTTTTTCTCCAGCTTCTCTCTTTCTCTGGTAAGCTACAATCTTATCTTTCTAACTCTAATGATATTTTTGGGAAGAGCATGAGAAATTATAGATTGTGTCATGGTACAACTAAATAGTTTCAGAACTAGTTCAGTAACCATACCCAAAAAATGCTTGATCCATGTCAGTCTGGAGGAAAGTCTTTAGCAGTATGCAACAGAGCACTGTCATGTTCAACATTTCTATGATTTGGATGAATACAAAGTTAACAGGCTTAGCAAATTTTCAGATGATATGAATCTGAGGTGGCAGACATGGGATCCAAATGATGGAATACTGGGCTAAATTAAATAAGATGATATTTAACAGGATAAGCACAAATTTACTCCAGTTTTTTTTTGTAATTGACTACAAGAACTGATTGAACTGAACTGTTCAACCAATCTTATACACATACACACACACACACACACACACACACACACAAACTCACATGTACTCCTTGATGTAACAAAGTAAGTATACAGCATAACAAATGAATGTCCCTGGATCTGATCAGGCCTCTAAATTTAATGATCAGGAAATACAAAAGATGGGAGAACATGTTAATACCACTAGAATACAATTAGCAAAATCTAGAAAATGGGAAATTCTCCAAAATAAAGTGTTCAGTTTTTTCAATAAATAGCAAGAGGGAAAAAGGAGAAGGAACTATTATAGTTATTTTTTTTCAATGAAGAGATATGTTTCCCAAATACAAATTGTGGACTTTATCTGGATATTGATTTGAACAAACTAGTTGGAAAAACATATTTATTGAACACTACTGGATATTTAATACAAAAAGGAATTAGTTATTTTCATAATAAAAGAATTATGATTTTATTTTTAAAAGAGTTCCTGCCACCTAGAGATACTTTCTGAAATGTTTAGAGATAATGTGATAAGATGTCTGGAGTTTACTTTAAGATAATGTGGAGCCAGGTGCTGGTGGTTCATGCCTGTAATCCTAGCTGCTTAGGAGGCAGAGATCAGGAGGATCGAAGTTAGAAGACAGTCCAGGCAAATAGTTCGCAAGACCCTATCTCAAAAATATCCAACACAGTCAGGTGCTGGTGGCTCATACCTGTAATCCTAGCTACTCAGGAGGCAGAGATCAGGAGGATTGATGTTTGGAGCCAGCCCTGGGTAAATAGTTCATGAGCCCCTATCTGGAAAAATCTCATCACAAAACAAGGGGTTTGAAGCCAGCCCCAGGCAAATAGTTCATGAGACCCTATCTCAAAAAAAAACATCACAAAATCACAGGGCTGTCAGAGCGGCTCAAGTGATAAGAGCGCCAGTGTATCAAGCTGAGGCTCTGAGTTCAAACCCCAGAGCCACCAAAAAAAAAAAAAAAGAAAGAAAAAATATCCAACACAAAAAAAGGCTGGCAAACCCCAGAACCACAAAGTAAAACAAAAGATTTTAAAAAGATAATGTGGAGTTCTTTTGATCAGGCTTCAGAATATGACAAAATTAATCATGCGTTGATAATTATTGAAGCTGGATGACATAAATGACTTCATTCTCTACTGAGATTTTGCAAAAGGAGAAAAATAAAAGAAAAACAAACACAGTTTGGATGAAACAGGGTTTGACAGCCTTTACCTGAGGAGGGAGAGGGAGTAAGAGCAGACTGTAAGGACAATATGGGGCTCTAAGTAATGAGTCACAGAGGGACCCTGGGCTGCAGGAAAAACAATAGCAAGTTCTAGAAGTTGAAAGAGGAGAGAGCCCTTCTACCTTGTCCTAGCTAATCACAGCTATAGTAGTACCTTCCATTCCCAGGCCCTCTTTCTAGGGGCAAAAAAAGACACACCATGGGCAGGAGATGCTAGCCTGGAAGCAGGAAGGCCTGTGGTGAGGACCTGTCTCGAAACCTTTGAAGCTTACTTTGCAGAGCTGCAAAGAATCGAATCAGAAGAAGTATGTGCAAGTTAAAAGAAGCCAATTCTATCTTAACATTCTAAGAGCCTTGCCTATTGACAACCACCAGGAATGGTAAAGGCCAAATTCTCATTTCAAAAGATTCAAGATAATAGCCTACTGCCCCCTTGTGGGGTTGCAACAGATTCCCTCCTAGATGGACTGGGCCTGTCTAGCCCCAAACCTTCATGATCTGCACTGGACAAACTCACATTACCTAAAACAGATGTCTGTTACCCCATGCAAAGCTGGTCCCTCAGCACCCCTGCTTCTGTGACCTTCACTCTCCAAGGACCCTCAGGGATCCCTAGCCACTATCTCTTCCTCTCCCCTGGGCCAATCCCCAGGTCCTATGTGCTTCTCTCCCTCTCCCAGCTCTGATCTGAAGTGCTTCCCTCCTGCTTCCAGACAGGCTCTCCAGCTCTCAACTCACGCTCTCTAATTTGGTCTGCACAGTCACTAGAGAAGGCCAATCCATTCTCCAAGACAGCAGCAGCAACAACAACAAAAAGGTTTCTTACTGCTAACAAGACGAAACCCTTCAACTGGGCATCTACAGCTCACCACAGCTGGCACCAAGCTGCCTCTCGAGCCTCTGATCACAGCCTTCCCGACTCCTCTCCCCCCACCCTGCCCCACCCTCTCCGCCTCACACACCCTGTCTGCTCTCACCCTGCGGCGTGGCTTGTAGAGGCCTCCACAGAGCAGGTGATGCATCACAGCATCCTCACGATCCCGGCCACTGCGAACAGTGTCAATCACTTGCAGGTCCAGACACGCTCCACTGCCACTCTCCCTCCTGCAGGAGGCAGGGACATATATGCTGGGATCATATGCAGACAGGGGAGGGACAGAAGCAAAGGAGATGACACATTTTCTCCAGAGGGATTCAGGAAGGGACTGGGGAAGGGGAAGGGACCTTAGGAACTCACAGCAGGTTGGTGACAGAGGTCTCTGCCACAGAATTTCGGCTGGGCATAGAAGGCAGAGTGAGGCCTGTGGAGGACAAGATGTGGCCTCCCTGCAGGACCAAGGTCAGACATCAATTAGAGGGTGGCCCAGACAGAGGGTAATAAAGAGAATAACAATAGTTCATACTTTTCTTTTGGTTTTTTTATAGTGCTAAACCCAGGGCCTCGTGTATCCTAGATAAGCGCTCTACTACTGAGCTACACCTCCCGCCCCTTATTTTGCTCTTTTGATGTCCAGGTACTGTGAGAAACACTTTACATACTAAATTCACAAAATCTGACATAGGTGCTCTTACTTATTCCTGCTTCCTCCACTGAGAAAAATGAGGCTCAGACAATGTAAGTTACTTACCTAAGGTCACAGGCCTGTAATTAGTAACAGTTTGACCCATAAATGCTGACTCCAGAGTCCAGCTGTTTCCCACCTTTCTGTACTGCCTGCCAGACTCTGACTGTTAGACTTGGCCAGGTTTGTTCATGCAGCTGCCACTTCACAAGACTGTGAAGACAAATGGGAGTTTCTAACTCCCTGCTAACAAGCCTGCCTGCCTATGGCCCCTTTCTGCCCTGTTCTGCAGGCCCACCTGGTAACTGCTGGCTCACCTGATCCACGAAGCTGATGGCATCCCGGATGTTGAGTCTGTAGTACACATCCCAGATCTGGTCCCGGATGCGGTAGGCTGACCTCCGCATCAGCAACTGACTCAGGTACTTCTTGTCAAATTGCTCCCACCTACAGAGGATGTCAGGGCCAGACCTGAGTACCATCCTTAAGGTGTGGCTGGCTGGCCCTTCCTCAGATGGGGCAGGGACACTGCCAGCACTGGCCTGTCTTTTCTTAGCCAAAAATTTCAAGGCTAATTCGATCTTACAGAATTTAGTTTTAGAGGAAAGCCTGACATTAATTAGTTATTGCAAATAACTGTAAAAATTGCAACCATGACAAGAACTACCAAGGATAATTATAGAATATGATAGGGATTTGTCTTAGTCAAGGAGGTAGGGAAGCCCTTACTAAGGAATCAATGCATATGGTGAGATCTGAATGATGAATATAAGTAAAGTGAGAGGGATGCAAGGGGGTGTTCTAGTAGCTAGAACATGTGTGATGGTCCCAGGCTTGGAGAGCCTGGTAGGTCCTGAGGCTCTAAATAGGGTCCATGAGGAAGACCATTGAAGACAAAACACAGCATGATGGGGCTGGAGTCTGGCAGGTGCCAGACCATGCAGGGCCAGGCAGGCCACACTGGGGAGTCTTGTCTTATCCTGAGAGTACTGAGATGCCACTGAAGGGCTTCAGGCAGAGGTCACCCAGCCTGAACCTGACTGCATCCCTTCTCAGAAAGGTGGCATATTCCCCATGCTGCCCTGACTGGTGGGGCTACTGCTGCTGAAGGAGCCTCGGGGCAGCTCCCTCACCTGTCCCTCCAGTAGTGGTAGCCATGGTGCCCCACAACGTCCTCCACTGCAGCCAGAATGTGGTCAAAAGTCTAGAAGGGGGGCGGGTAGGGGGACTGGATCAGGACTCTGCCACGAAGGAGAAGGGAGAAAAGGACAGGTGGAGGGATGGGGCTCTGATACCCACGTGCTCATGTAGCTCCTGGTTCAGGGTGGGTTTGTGATGCTCACTCCTCTTCACCTTCAGCCACTTGACCAGTGGCTTGATGGTCAAGCCCTATGGACAGGCAGGAGGTGAGCCCTGCCCTATTCAGATTCCTGCTGCCTTTCCCCCCCCCCTAATTAGGTCTCAGCATTGTCCCCCTACCCCACCCCACTGTACTCAAGGTCTGGGATTCAGTCCCTGCTTCACCCAATGGGAAGAGGAACCCCTGTGCCATAGACTATAAGGCTCTCCCTGGGATCTGCCAGTCCTTTTCCCCACCCATCCTTGTGGACATTCCCACCTGAACGATGACTGTGAAGAAGACCACCACAATAGTGGTGGCCACAAAGTAGTCCTTAGCAGGGACCTTGGTCCTGTCCAGTAGGATGACGAGAGCAAAGGCCACAGCCCCCCGCAGGCCCCCATAGGACATCACCACCTGGTCAATCTTGTCCAGAGGGACTAGCCGGAACTGATTCAGCACCCACGTCTGCAGGACTACGCCTACAGCAGGAGGGAGGCCAGTGGGAGCAAGGCATTGAGAGTGGATGACACTGGGAGTAGATGGCACCAAGTATCTGGGCTAAGGTCTGGCAGGGGCTGGGAGAGGTAAGCAACAGGGGAGGCTTAGAAATTGACAAGGATGATGACTCAGACAGGGAGATGAGCTGTGGGCTGGGAAGCACAGGGAACAGTGGGGAAGCAGAGGGTGCCAGCAATACCCAGGGCTCGGAAGAACAGGATGAAGAAGAGGGTGCCCATCACCAGCCCAGAGTCCCAGGCCCACTTAGAAGAATCCACGGCCGAGATGCCAAGCAGCATGAAGATGACAGTCTCAGCACAGCTGGCTAGAGTCTTCATTGTGTATTTGACAGCTGTGCGTGACTTATGGGAGATGTTAGCCTCCACATACTTCTTACAGCCCAGGCCACACATGGTCACCCTTGAAGAGAAATAGACAGTAGGACAAGTGAAGAGAGATCCCAGGAGGTTCAGCTTCTAGGGTTTGAGCTTGCTGTGGTGGAGTGTGTGTGTGTGTGTGGAGATTTGCCCATCACAAGGTGTCAGATTCTCATTAGGGGAAGACTGCTAGGTAGTGGTTGGTGGTCCTGGAAGGAGTCCTCAACTCCAGGCCTCCCACGCAGTGCCTCCTGGGAGTTGGGGGGGAGGGATATGTTCTGACTAGCAGACTCTCTGAGGCAACTTTTGGAGTGCTGTGACCACCACAGTCAACAGGCCCAGGCTTTAAAGTCCATTTTCAATTCAGCTTGTACTTTGAGCAGAGGAAGACTGAGTCCTCAGGTGCCCAGCACAGTTCCAGATGCCCAGACAGCTCTCTCAGATTACCTGAGGTTTACTGTCTCCCCAAGGGAGTTTGAGGTACCCACCACCACAAGGGCCCAGGGAAGCCTATGGACTCCTTAGGGTCCTGCTCCTGGCCATATGAGGGGCTACTATCTCCAGTGCCCCCTCCCAACTACCTATCTGTAAGGCCCCAGGACTCACGCAAGAATGGCGGAGAGTGAGGCCATTTCAGCAGTGAGGTAGGCTGCATAGGCGAGGAGGAAGACCAGCAGTGGCTCGATGATGCGAACCCGCTTGGTGAAGCGTGTGGTCAGGGCCAGGAGGAAGGCAAAGACTAAGCCCACGGCTGCCCCGCCCAGACTGACCAAAAACAGGGAGGCTGGGGGAGGAGTGGGTTGTCAGCATGACCCCTTGCCTGGACCCTCCCAAGGCTGACAAGACTGCTGCCTGTCAAGAAGTGGAGAAGGATGTCCACTGCACTCCCCAGGGCTCAGGATCCCTAGACAAGCCCCTCCCAAACCCCATTTCTCCATAGAGGAGAGTAAAAAAAGGAGGCAACCTGAAAAGCCTCCTCTGTCCTGATGCCAGGTGTATGGGACTCAGCAACCCCAAGGAAGGCAGACCTTCAATGCTGGCTGAGAGAGGGGGAAATACTGACCGACTCCCTTCAGGTAGTCAATGGCCTGCACGTTGGCAGAGCCCATCTCTACAAAGGAGTTGCAGACCTTGTACAGCACCTGAGTGAGAAGAGGAAAGTCAGGAGTGGGGAGAGACAATGACTAAAGTCAATGGACAAAGCTGAGAGACCCTATTTCTTCTCTAGGGGGATAGGAGAGTCTACTCAGATGCCCAACTGGCCAGAGCATGGCAGCTTGGGGTCAGGGGATGGTAGTCTACTGGAGCATTCTTACCACAGTGACTGCATCATTGAGCAGGGACTCGCCAAAGACGATGATAAACAGAGTCTCATTGACGTGCACTTCCTCAAAGACAGCCAGCACAGCTACAGGGTCCACTGCTGAGATAAGGCTCCCGAACAGCAGGAAGTCCAGCAGGCCAGCCTGCACCTTAGGGGCTATCAAGGGAGAGACAGGAGACAGGCCAGGAATTGGTGACCCTGTCTCCTGCAGTATTCACTGGGACAAGCCCAGAGCTCTCCTCCTCCATGATAAAACAAGGAGGCCCAAAGAAGACATGGAAAGATGAGGAGAGCACTGGTCTGTAGGTCAGAGACTTGAGCTGAGCTGCCTATGCCTAAGGCCTGGTTTTGCATTCATCAGCCGTGTCATGTGGGCTGTCACAGTCACATGACTTCTCTTAGCCATGCCTCCTTATCTGCCTACCTCACAAGATGGCTGCAAAAACCAACCTGGGAGATGGCTCAGAAAGCTCTATGTAACCTGAAAAGCAAAGGTGCACTGATAATAAAAACTGCAGCAACAGTAAAAGTAGCTACCAGCAGGTGGGAATTGGCTTTATTAAGGAGGATAACAGGAGAGATCTGTGGCTCTCAGCCATAGGGATGTGACATACACAGTTCTCAGCAGAATGGAGAAAGCTGAACACAGTATGAAAAGCACCACAGGTGGGACTTGAATATTTCAAATAACCTCCATGAGCCTCAGTTTCCCATGGGCAAATTGGGAATAATAATATCTACCTCAAAAAGTTTTTTATTTAGCCAGTGCCTGATATGTAGTAAGTACTCAATAGATATTACCTATTATTAGAATTACTACTATGATTAGGATCTGCTGTCCTCCCTTCCTGCCCCAAATCTCACTATCTTATTAAGAAAACCAGGTTGGAGTCCCCAACTGGGAATTGCAAACCTCTCCTTATAAACATTAGGACTGAATGGATTTCTTGCATCTGGAAATGAAGAAGAAGGGATCAGGGGAAGGCCCTAAAGAACAAAGAGCCTCAGTAAAATAGAGGCTAACTGTGGATTTCTCATGCTAACTTTGGACCAGATTATCAAATGAACTTCAGGTGCTCAACTTTCTCATTCATTAAATGGGATAAATTATACCTCAACAGAGTTGCTATGAAGAGTCAATGGGATATGTAAGGAGAGAATGCCCACTGTAGTGGCTAGCATTTTATGGATATAAAATGCATATTTATTAAAAATAATAAGAAAAGCTGGAAATCACTCTGACATGGTATGAGCCAACCCAGGACATGGGGGAATGGTGAGCTGTGCCTCAGGAAAGCAGGGCTGGCAAGAGGCAGTGTGGTAACAGAGGACAGGAGACAACAGAGTGGTAATGCAGGCTCCCCAGACTCAGCAGCCTACTGGAAGCCAAGCCCCTGCTCAGCTGTCATGCTGCAGAAGTAGTCAACTGGTAGAGACCTAAATGAGGGCTAAAACCCATCTGGAGTGTTGCCTTACAATACAGGTGGGAAGGACCTAAGACAACTCCCAGAGAATGGCTCTTTCTAGCATCCAACAGTCACAGCTGGAGGAGAAGGAAGTGGAGGAATGGGTCTGACAAAACCTCCCTCTGCTAGCCAGGTCTTAGAGTCACTCACCCACAAGTCCAGCCTGCTGCAGGCCCCAGAGGGCAGCCCCTGTTGTGAAGGCATTCCAGAGTGTGCCCACCACAGCGTAAGTGAGGATGGCACCCAAGTTGTCAAAGAACAGCCGACTGGGCATGAAATAGCCTGAGTCCAGAACGATAGGAGGCAGCAGGAAGAGGAAGAAGGTGCCTGGCTCCAGCTGGTACTCAGCTTTCTTGGCCACAGCCAAGACAATGCCCCCTAGCGCCAGGCCCAGCAAAATCAGCAAACAGCTCTCAGGGACCAGAGATGTTACCTTCCGAGACAGGTGAAACACTGAAATGCAAAAAGAGAGCAGCTAGCACATATGGATATAATAAAAAAAGAAAAAAAAAAAAGAGAGCAGCTAGTATGATCTTATGAAACACTCTCCCACCCACTGGCCTACAACTTCCCCATCTTAAGGTTACCCAAGGTTGGCGGAGTGACTCAAGTTGTAGAGAGCCTGCCTAGCAAGTGTGAGGCCCTGAGTACAAACACCAGTATGGCCAAAATAAATAAATAAATAAATAAGGTTACCCAAAGTCAGAATCCTGACCCTGGGACCAAGGGAGGAAAAAAGAAATACAGAATTTCTAGAATCTCTAATACCCAGGGCTACAAACCCTCCATTACTGCAAGACTTTTGCTTGCTTTTTCCTTTCTATAAATGCTCCTTCCTCCCTGTGCTCATCCTCAGGGCCTGACCTCAACTTTTTCTAGCCTCTTTTATCCACAGTTATCATGTGAACCTCAGCAAATGCTAACTGATCTCTCTCTCTCTCTCTTTTTTTTTTTTTAGTGGTACTGGGGTTTGAACTCAGGGTCTACACATTGAGTCACTCTACCAGCCCTATTTTTGTGATGGGTTTTTTTTGAGATAGTCTCATTAACTATTTGCCTAGGATGGTTTCAAACAGTGATCCTCCTGATCTCTGACTCCTGAGTAGCTAGGATTACAGGCGTGAGCCACCGGCATCGGGCCTAATTGGTCTCTTCATGCATAACATAGCTATAAAATTCAGAGCCTCTACAGTAGGTTCAAAGACTAGGTTCTCCATTTACTAGTTCTGTAATCTTGGGGTAAATAACATCATCTTTTTGCTCCTCCGTTTTCTGATCAGCAAAGTGGGAGTAAAAACAATAATGGTCTCACAGGATCCTGAGAATTAAATAAGACAATCTATGTAAGGCACTAACACACTGCTTTATAGTAAACAATAAATGTTAGGTGTTATAAATGATGAGTGTTAATATTATATATGATAGAGCTCCCTAACTATAATGTACATGTATATTACACCTCTTAGGAGCATTCTAGGCCTCCCAACCCAAGGTACATTTCATTATATAGGCTCAGTAAGGACTCACTAGTTTAAAAAGCTCTGGGTTTAACAGTCAGATCTCCATGTCTTCTTCTGGCTTTATTTTCTAACTGTGATTTCAGGCAAATTATTTAATTTACCTCAACTTCAGTCTCTTCTCTGTAATATGGGGAAAATTCCCACCATAAAGGGTAAAGATATGATGATATGAAGTGTGTAAATGCACCTACTACTGATACTAAGGTATCAGACACATAGTAGGTTTTCATCAAATGTTAATGAAATTTGACTCTGGGAAAAAATAGTAACATCCATCTCTAGAGAAGAGAAGGTAAGAAGAAGGTATCTAACACTATTGCTACTTTTACCCTTGTCCTCTAAAACATGGCTCACTCACCATTGGGCCCTCAAACTATAAATAAACATATCTCTCCTTACACAATTCCTATGGTGCTGGTACAGGAGACCTTATTAGCCTATGTAAGATCTTATTCTTAGGGCCTTTCGAAACAGCTCCCAAGGACTTAAGTCAGTGCCTGGGACACAGTGAACTCTACATAAATATTTGTTGAATAAAAGGAGATAAAACTTTCCTAGCAATGAAACTGGGAGGTGTACCTGAACATTCTGCCTATACTTCCCCTCCTTTCTGAAGATTCGGGGGGAAGGGCTTGTGGAGAAGGAAGCTCTCCCCTTTCTCAATAAGAAGTATCATCCAAGCTAGAAAAATCACTAGGGCAAACTACAGTTGTTGCTATAAACCCTACATAAGATAGGAACTCTCCCACAACTCAAAGACTTCACAGTAAACCCAATCCTTACCTCCAAACCTGAGGCTGCTTCCACCTTGCTGTCACTGCTGCTCAGCCTCTATGGTGAACTCAGTCAGTCATAGTACTCCCTACACTGGAACCTGCCGTTGGTGCCCCATTTCCTTTCCTTCAGGGACCCTATTTCATCCTCATCTCCTCAGCATGCACCAGCCCCAGCCCTGCAATTCAAGACCCATCACAAAAGCCAGTTCTCTGGCAGAATCAGGCTCCCTGAAGTCAAGTTCCACTTTCCATTATTAATCTCTGGCTGCCAAAACAGAATGGAGAGTTCTATTCCTGCCCAAGCCCCCACCCCTCAGCAATGTCCCAGGGGGAAGAGGAGGCAGCAAATTCTAGATAGTGGGATTCCTACATGAAGGCTGTATTGGTAAGACTGGAGTACAGTCTGTGCCAGCATAGATGGGGAGTAAGTAGCAACACTCAGCTATAATTAGTCCCCCCACGGCACAGCCTACACAACAAAGAGAAAGGAGGAGGGTCCCTGGTGGGAGGAGGGACCACTGGCTGCTCAGAAAGGAGGAGGAAAGGGCAGAGGCAAGGAAAAGCAGGGAAGAATCTGAAGCACATCCTTCAGTGTTGTGAGGATTTAGGAGGTCTGATGTATGAAAGCACCTAGGGTACACAGCACACAGAAAGCTCCGATAAATGGAAGTTTCCTATACCCCAAAGGAGAGGAACGTGAACCTGAATGGAGGAATGTACCCAAGCCTAGGTGCAAAAAGGTGACATTTTTAAATGGGGACAAAGGTGAGCTAGAGGAAAAGTGGCAGTTTAGTATCTCAAGATAATGAACACTTGGACTTGGTCTCCAGGGAAGATTGGTTCATAGGGACCAGGATACTTGGGTTCCCATAAGAATACCATCCATTCCTTCAATGTCCTCATGCGTCCTCACCCCTGACAGGTTTCTGAGAAGCCGGGCATTGGTGGAGGAGTGGTTTGACTGAGAAGAACTCACGGTAAAGAAAAGAGGGCAAAGGAGCCCAAGATGGAGCTGGAGACAGTGGGGGCAGCCCTTCAAGAAGGCAAATTGTCAGAGCTCCCACTGAGAAGGGGAAGAGAGAGACCCACAAAAGAAGGCGCAGGAATTGGGCAAGAGCCGGGATTTGTGGAATCCAAGCCTAAGTCTCAGTACCATGCAAGAAGCTGGCCAGGATCTGGAAACCCCGGGGTTAGGGGCGGGTCCGCTGCCACCGCTGGCCTGCCGCACACACACACACACACACACACACACACACACACACGCACTCACCGATTTTGGCCAGACTGGCCACCAGGATCCAGAGGGCCACGAGGTAGGGTGCCTCCACTTCGTGCCACTGCCAGCGGAAGAGCGCCAAGCCTGGAGGAGGCTCGTCTCGAGACCCCGACTCCTGGGTGGGCTCTTTGGTTGCTCCCGCCCCCGCCAGGGGCAGCCCGAGCAGGGGCAGTGCGGCGCGCAGCATCCTGCAGCCTGCCTCACGCCCT